CAATTCTCCTGCCTCAGCCTCCCAAGTAACTGGGATTACAGGCGCCCACCACTGCACTCGGCTAATTTTTTTATTTTTATTTTATTTTTATTTTTTGTATTTTTAGTAGAGACGGGGTTTTACCACCTTGGCCAGGCTGGTCTCAAACTCCTGACCTCCTGATCCACCTGCCTCGGCTTCCCAAAGTCCTGGGATTACAGGCATGAGCCACCGCGCCTGGCCTTAACCTCTTTAAATTGTAATTCCTACCCCGAGGGATTGTTGAAAGGATGAAACAAACAAATGTATTATGAAAATGTAAAAGCATGCAACAAACTCTCAGCAAGTGGTAACGATACATAAAACTAAGTATATTTCTGTGCAGAATATAGTCCCTATAGTCGAATAGGCGCAAGCGTTAGAAATAGGCTCTGCCATGGGGTCCCTGATCTGACTTCTGAATGTCAAGAACCTTTTAAGTCTGATGCAGAATGTCGTGCTCACGTGTTGGAGAATTCTGCGAAAACGATTCACAGTTTGCTTCAGGGTCTAAAATGAGTTCATGACCCAAAATAGGAAGGGGATCAGTAGGGCAGTGTATAGCACACCCTTCACGTAACTATTAATAACTCCATCTTAGGAAAAGACCCCATTTTATATTTCATAGGGCATTTGCCAACAAGGATACTATACTTTAATAAACAAATAAAAAACTAGTCCGCATCCACTCAGGTAAGGACACAAACAAGCGCCCTCCTCCACTGTCAGTTCTCACCCAGGACTCTGCCTTCGGCAGCTCCAAACAGTCTTAATTGACGCTGTCTTTGCAGAAGGACCTCTTGGACTTCTTTTTCTCTTCTTCACTCCCTCTGGATTGGTTGTTCATCTCTTTGTCCTATCTATTTTTTTCCTCGTGATGTTAAATGCTACTCTGTTTGCTGTGGGATACTTAACTTGTAACGTTTATATATGGATTAAGTACACTACTGTGTACGGTTTGCAGTACGGACTGATGCGCGGAGTGGCTTGGGCCTGTGTGTCCAGCATGCGTGGACCTGCTTATTACTAGCCCGGCACCCTGGCGACAGGAGGCTAAGGCTTTTGATTTAGGGAGAGGGACCTGGGGGTAACCCCAAGAAAGGCCTCAGGTCACCGGAGGGGGGACGGAAATTACCGGAGGGCGTCCCGGCCCGCTCCTCTTCTTCTCAGAGCTCACACTGGGCAGCAGGCCTGGCCTTGGCTCCCTTCTAGGTCCCCTTTGGGCCTGGCGCGGTTTCCAAGTCTTCCTCAAATTACCTCCAGAATCCCGCGCTGGGAGCGGAAGCCCGCGGACTCTCAGGAAGACCCAGCTTTCAAATCCGGGG